TTTTTTTTTTTTTTTTAAAGTAGTAACCATATGAAGAGCAATAATTGGTCAAAATTATCTTTCTCCCAGGTTCAAGTGCATAGATTTAGATGGTAATGGAGTTATTACGAGGAACGAAATGCAATTCTTTTATGAGGAGCAGTTGCACAGAATGGAGTGCATGGCCCAAGAGCCTGTGCTTTTCGAAGATATTTTATGTCAGATGGTTGACATGATCAATCCAGAGGTGAACCCCACAGGACACTAATGTCATTTTATCTTTTTTAAAATTTTCTTTCAAAGTAACATCTGTTATATTCATCTTGCTAATGGGAGCAATGGAGTCTTGCCCACGTATTCTTGTTAGTCTAGTAATTAAAAAAGGCATGAGGCATCCCGTGGTGACAAGCCTATTTTCCAAGGCGTGAGGCGTGGCAAGCCAGTGTGCAAAAACAATGATTCATGGACAATGGAGAATTACATATAATTCAGGTGAAAACAGAAAAAGAAGTCCCAATCGATATTATTTTTGCACAAAAAGAGAGAATTTTGACCATAATAGCTAGTTTTGAGCTATTTTGACCCACCCACTCACAGGGTATAAGAATTTATTTACAGGAAAAAAGGGCAAACCACTCACCCACTCACAGAATATTATTAGAAAAAAAAGGAAGACATTAGTATTGAATTATAAAAATAGAAAAGAAGGTGAAAAGGAATACGTTCACTCTCTGGTAGTTAGTTAAGGAGCCACAGGTCGCCTGAACACCTCAGGGATCAGGTTTTCCAGTGCAGATGAATGGAAAGCACAAACTAATTGTGGGTTTGGTTGGGCAAATATGTGTAATTGAGATATATTTTATGAAAAACCTTAAACTGATGCCCTAAAATTAAGGTTTGTACTTCGACTAATCGAGGCTACTACCTTGGCGTCGCCTTTCACAAGTGTGCCTTGCAACAGCTATTTGAGGTGCCAGGCCTGGCCATGCCTCGCCTAACGCCTTGGCATCGCCTTTTTAATCACTGCTTTACTCTTTTTCAGCCATCATATCCCGTTCTTTTCCCGAGTTTCGACTATGATATTCATTTTTTGCTGCATCTTTCTATTGGATATTGTGTCTAACATACCCTTTGGCTGCGTGCATGGATGGAAGTCTTATAGTAGAAAAAAATAGAATGGAGTGTGTGATAAGGTCATAATCTACAGCTTGTAGTTTTTAGTAACTGGATCAATCATTTTAACTATTTGTTGTTAACTATATAGTGTCATCAAATTTCAGTATAGCATGGCGGATTCCTGCCTAACCGCCATTAAAAAATTTTGAAGGATGGCAGTTATGGCGGCACCACAAGCTGCGTCCGCCATGGCCGGATTTCAGCCTGCTACCGTTTTCAGCTGTCGCCATTGATAACACTGTAACTCTGTGTTACTGCAATGACATATCATGACATGAAAATTTATTTTGTCTGCAGAACGAGAACTATCTTACGTTACGTGATTTAAGAGGAAGCAAGCTCTCAGGCAGTGTTTTCAATATTCTTTTTAACCTTAACAAGTTCATGGCTTTTGAGACACGGGATCCATTTCTTATTCGCCAGGTAACATTATAGCAGCTTTCTTACTTTCAAGGAATACTTGGTAATGCTGTGTTTATAATGTTATGTGTACAGTCACATGGTTTTGCAATTATTGAAAGTCTATTCGTAACAGGAGCGTGAGAACCCAAATTTGACGGAGTGGGATCGCTTTGCACACAGAGAATATATACGGCTTTCAATGGAGGAAGATGCTGAAGATGCCTCCAATGGAAGTGCAGATGTTTGGGATGAATCACTAGAGGCTCCATTTTAAATTCTGCTTGGTGAGATCTTTATTCATGTTAAGAAATTAAAATATCTTTCTGTATTAGATTTCCCATGAAAATGTCCCTAATCAAAATATGTTCGTTATCGTACTTTTATATTTATAGTCATAGTAGAAATATGGCAATGTGAATATGGACTGTTTTGTTTTGTTTTGTTTTTTTTTTTTTTTTTTTTTTTTTTTTTTTTTTTTTTTTTTTGTATGTTAATATAAACTTGTTGAATCTAAAATTTAAAGGCTAAGAATAATATGCATATGGATTTACATTGATTACTTGAACACAACAACGTATGTCTCCTACTCATTGGGCTCTGTAAGATTTTGATTCTTGTTCCTTATATTTCTAGTCATTCGTCATCTCTGTGCATCTCCATGATGGATTCACTACCAAGGAAACAGTAAGGCTGCTATCACATGCATTGCACATCATAACCTTAGTTATATAAAATGAACCTTTATACATATATGAGTTGTTTACCAAGGAATATTTTGGTGCATGATTGCGTGATACTGAAGTTTCTTGGTTGGTTTTTGGTTTGCCAAATTTGAAGTGAAAGGGGCTATCTGATTTGAAAATGGTGTGTTAATGGTAAGATTTTGAATGTAGAGTAGTTTGAATTTTGATGTGAATAATTATGGAAGCTAGGAAATGGTGCGGTGTGATGCGGTAGGGGTAATGGGCGGTTACTGCAAACTCGTAATGATAGGCGCACCTCATAAGATAATTTAATTGCTGATAGGTAGTTTATTGCTCTGATTAGTTTGTTTTGATGTCTATAATTCTGTCCTCCTCAGGTGTGTGTGTCTTTGGAGTCTTCTCTCTCTTTGTAGCAGTAAATTGTGGTGTGAAATAGGAATCTGAGTCCACAAAATGATACATACATGTGTTTTTTTAAAGCCGCCTCAGGAATTTTGAGTTGACTGACCTGTGTATCTGTCTGTATGTATGTATATGTAAGAACTAAGAAGCTTGCCAATATGTATTTGTTGTTGCTACAGTGGAAAACCAACATATTATATTAGCACAGTTGTAAGAATCTGTCTTTTAGTTATTTCTTTTACAACTAATGTTTCTGTATGTATTTTATTTTATTTTTCCTACTTACAAACTTTTGTTGTACTGTTCATTTGATTGTTTCCCTGGGGAGTTTTATGTTTGTGTTTTTTATCACTCTGCTGTGATTTGTAACCACTGAATTTTATCTTTAGTTACTACAAACAAAAGCAAAAAACTATTCATCCAACCCACATTAAAATAAAAGGCAAAAGAAACATTCTAAGTAAAAAACGCAAACTCCTCATTCAAAAGACATTAAAATAAAAGGCAAAAGAAACAATCAGAATAACTCTCTCATCCAAAAGATTAATGCTCTGTACAATTGTTTTTTTCAGAACTTTTACTATATATTTTTTTTCATACTTTTCTACACATCTTCTGTTTCTTTCATTTTTTTCATCCATAGAAAATGTATAAAAAAAAAATTAAAAATCTAATTTATATATATATCTATCAGTAATGTTCCCCTACCCACGGTGGACACATGTTAATATGCCCACCACACCGCTTATGTGGCATGTACATGTTGGTGATATATTTTGTTGAACATAAGTACATCACCAATGTGTACATGCCACATAAGCGGTGGACATATTAACATGTGTCCACCGTGGGTAGGGGAGCATTTCCATATATCTATATATATAAGAAGAATAAATATTATGAAAAATAGCAGTAAATATTTTTGGAGCATTTAATGCATGCTTGTTTTTAGAAATTTTTAAATATATGCATTAATTGTTTCTATACACTTTCAAAAAAGATCAAATCATATATGATCAAAAATATTGTTTCCAAAAATAATATTATTAACATCTACAATAATTTCATTTATCCATTTTAATAAATTACAAGATTGATTTTTCATGATTCACTAGTACAACACTTGTGTATTACACGAGTGCTGCTAATTTTTTTTTCTTAAAATTTAAAATTAATGAAAAAAAAAATGGTTGAGAATTCAAATATTTTTTATAAGAAAATATACATTATTATATATTTTAGTATGATACTTGTTAGTTTTGCGACTACCCTTGTTATATTATAATAATCAAACTTATAACATATAATTACAAAAACATAAATATATTAATTAAAAATAATTTTATTTTTTAATTAATTTTAATAAATAATTTTATTATTATTATAAAGATAAATATAATTTATTTATTATATATATACAACATGGATGTCAAATCGAAGCTCATCAAAAGACGATTAATTTGGTATATTTTATATGTAAAACCGATAAGAAATACAAAATTTATCAACTTTTAAAATATATTTACAATTCAATTGTTATAATAGGAAATGATATTAAGAAACAATTAATATATCTAAAATGATCATAAATAAATCAACATATTTATGGTAATCCGAACTTAATTATTTTGAGATTAAAATAAAATTAAAATCTATCAGAGCCAAACAATGAAGCATGAAATTTTGACACCTAGGTTCCCGAAGCATGCGAGCCTGCCACTTAGGCTCACTGCATTCGAGAATTATATATAGGGGGATGTTGATAACAATTTGGTCAAAATAAATATTATAACATATTTTAAGTTCTAACCATAATATTATTTTTTTTTTTTCACAATATTCACTTTTTATCCAAAACATATTATAAAAAATCATAACATGTTAGGTAGAATTTTTCTTCTAAATAATCAGGTGAAATCAAGTTGGTGAATTAATATTTGTGAATATAATTTGTTCTTAAACTTATTTCGTTATATATAAAAGATAAATTATTCTTTAAAATAATATAATTTATCATTTAAGAGATAATGACCATATACATTAAATAATTTTACTAATTGCCAAATTATTAAAATTGAAATATATTAACTGTTCCTTATAATTTATTTGTATATTATTGACAACCATGATAATTTTTTTATTATTTTATTTTTATTTATTTCTATAATGAAATTATTGTAAAATATATTTTCATTGTAGTGTATGCTAAATAAACTATAAATCCTTATAATGTAAATTAGAAAAATCTTGATTATTGAAGGGATTGAGTTCTTGGCATTTCCTAAATCAAAGTTGTTTAATTATAATACAAAATTAAATTCTAAAAAAATGTGTGTATATTTTGTACAATATTAATAGACTATTTAATTTTAGATTTATTTAAATATTTTAAAATGATTGCATAAATAAATATTAATAATGTGGCTTGAATATTTTTCACTACATAAAATGGCGTACAACTTCTGTAACTTTTATAAATAAAAATGATATTATATGACAACAAATTTTATAATAAAATAATAATTAAGTATTATATGGTGAATAAGAATAATTAAAAATGATATTTTCTCTTATATCAAGAAAGAAATATACATACTAAAATCAAATTTATATTTGTATAAATGTGTTAGTGAGATAATTAAATTTTTTACAAGATAGACCTAACATGCTTATATATCATGTTCTGGCTAAAAAAAACGGTGATTAAAAGAGGTGGAAAATAGATTAAGGCTTTTTACATACATACTTAAGTGACTCTTGCAAAAATACTAAATAAAAAACTTATTTGCACATCTACCTAACTTATTATATTTTATTAGGAATATACCTAATTTCAAAATCTGTGTATTAATTTGATATAAGACATCCTCTCTCCTCTCCCTTCATTACTCTACTAGTTTTTAACCCGTGCATTTGCACAGAAAGCTATATGATAAAGAAAAAAATAAAAAAGAAAAAAATAGTAAAAATAATAACAATGGTCATTGATAACTCGGGTTCAACAACAAAAATCTAAATCTAAATCTAAATATTATTAAACACTTCTTTATATACAACGTTCGTGGTTTTCCTATCGTCAAAATCTCCACCACCACAGATCATTATCTTCAGACCCCTCCGATTCGTGACTCTAGATAGTGCCACATACAACTGTCCATGACTGAATACATGGTTCTTCAATAGTAAGCCGACGTATGAAAGTGACTGGCCTTGACTCTTGTTGATAGTCATCGCATATGAAACCATGAGCGGAAATTGCCTGCGTTGAAATTTGAACGGTACCCTCAAATCGGATGGTATGATTGTCAGCCTAGGAATAAGAACCTTGTCACCAGCTCTGGCACCAGTTAAAATCTTGCATTCGAGGACATGGCTGCTGAGCTTAGTGATAACCAACCGTGTACCTGTTGACATCAAAACTCAGAAACAAAAGCATATCACTCAATTTGTACAATGATAAAAGAAAATAAAGACGACAAATGTATTTTGATGAACAGCACCGTTACACAACCCCGTGGTGTGATCAATGTTTCTGAGAAGCATCACCGGAGTGCCGACCTTAAGCTGCAGTTTATGATTCGGAAGTCCAGAGCACTTGATCCCATTGAGAAATTCAGGAATGTGAAGATCCTGAAGAGAATCATATCCAGCATCTGACTTGCACGCGGTATCCGAACTCAAATAAGTCCTTCCCTCATATGAGTTCATCGAGCTCATGTACTCATTAACGGACTCAACCACATCAAGTGTGGGAGCGAGTATGGCTCTGTCCTTCAGGTAGCTAAGATCGTCACCTGCACTCCTAAACATCGGGTAGGTACTCTCAACAATAGTACCAATAGGATCCCCTTGTGAGTGTAGAAGAATATCGTCGGGGATGTCGATATCGGCACAACCGTCATTCGATCCACCGACTATACCATCGCCGATGTTTGCAAGCCACTCAGAGAAGCGCCTCAACTCATTGTACTCATCACCACTACCAAGGCTTCGAAGCCTCATATTCCGAGTCAGTCTCAGAACGATACAATCGCGCCACAAATTGGATAAACTGATAGTGGCGTTAACAATGTCGCTCCAACTGCCTTTAGGGACAACGTGCAGTATCTATCTGAAATCCCCACCTAATACAACACACTTGCCGCCAAATGGGAGATTTTTCCTCGAT